CAATTTTAAAACATTCAGTGTTCCCATGTTCTGTTCTAACAACTGCTTCTTTAGCGTAGTGGTTACGAATTGGGCTGCGAACCTTAAAATCAGCGATTCGAAACTACCAGCCGCTCCGCGGGAGAAAGATGAGGCTTTCTACTCCCATAAAGATTTACACCCTCAGAAACCCTGTACAGGGTCGCTATGGATTGGAACCGACTCGATGGCACATAACAGCAACAACAACTGGGGTCAATGGCCCTGCCCTAGTGCGTGTTCACATGCATATGAGGTGAAAATACCATTGGCTTGAGTCAGGCACACCTTAGTCCTCAAACTGACATCTTTGTTTTGAACATTTTAAAGAGGTCTTGTACATCAGATTTGCTTAATGCAGTACATCGTTTGATTTCTTGACTGCTGCTTCCATGAGTGTTGGTGGTTTATTCAAGCAAAATGAAGTCTTTAACAACTTCAATGTTTTCTCTATTTATATGCATTTTATTTACTAGTCCAGTGGTGAGGATTTTTGGTTTCTTTACATTGAGGTCCAACCCATACTAGTAGCTGTGGTCTTGGATCTTCAGCAAGCAAGGTTGTATCATCTGCCTATGACAGGATGTTAATGAGTTTTCTTCCTCTATCCCTGATGCCACGTTTTTCTTATAATCCAGCTTCTCAGATTATTTACTTAGCATACAGATTGAGTAAGTATGGTGAAAGAATATACATAGGAAGGAGAATTAAATTATTTAAGACTCTATTGCAACTGACAGAAAACTTGACTCAGGCTGACTTTAAAGTTAAGAGGAAATGTGTTGACTCAGAAACAGACGTCTAGGAATTAGGCTGGACATAGGAGTGACTTCCGTAGCTCCCTTCCTCTACATTAGCCTCAACCCAGGTCTCTTCCTGTGTGGTTGCAAAATGGCAGCAGCAGGAGCTCCAGGCCTGACATCCTCTGGGGTTCAAGTTCAACAGAAAAGGACACCTAACACGACTCCAGCCTTCCTTTCCATCCCGTTGGCTTGGGTGAATCCAGCGCCATTCAGAGAATCGCCCACAGTGCACTGACTGGCTTTTATCTTGGTCACGTGC